TTTAAACGAAGTTACATAATCAAACGGATAAGAGTAGGTTTTATATCATAGACATTGCATTTTCTTTGATCATATAGAGGGATTCAACTCAAACCTTATTCTAGTCGAGTCTCCTAGGCCTCTTTTTTTGCGATTGCAAGGTCAGTCAAGATATCGGCTACATAATTTTGTTCTCAACTGTTCAGAATTGTCCATTAACTCCTTACAACGTTATCTTGTTCTCAACTGTTCAGAATTGTCCATTAACTCCTTACAACGTTATCCCGTAAATGGCCAAGGGAATTCTTGTTCCTTTGATCCAATCCACAGTCTCATTAGGATCACTTTAAAATTTTTACTTCAAGCTGATTCCAAATTTGCCATGATGCCATGATTACTTAGCTCTCGATCTAGACACATTAATTTTATAAGTTGAATGAGTTGAATTATACTTTTTGTATATTATATTTTTTAAAAATAGAAATAAGCAGCTTCCATTTTGCCACCATAAGTCATCAACTGCTTTAGCAACTGTAACGGAAATTTGGAGATAACAATGGTTATAAAAGACAAGGAGATAGAAATATGCGGCCCCACAACTTATCAGAAAGGGCCACGTGGATGAGTAATTTACCCCAATCCGCCATACAATACTAGCTTGCCCACCTTTCTCGGCGGCGCTTTCTTTTCTCCTCCGCAACCCACCGCCCAGAAACGCTCACGCGCCGCCACCGGAATATCCTCCTCCTCTTTAGAGATGTCGTCTACTACTACTATTCTTCCTCTTTCACCAATTACTCCTCCGCACCTCCGTTCCCATGCGCCCTGCCTCACTCAATTCCTCCCCCGCACCTCCTCATCCATGACCCGCCTCAAACCTCTCTTCCTCCGCCGCAATCACCTCCGTCGTCTCGCCGTCTCCGCCGCCGCTGTTCGTCAGGACACCACCGTCTGGACTCCGGCTCCTCTCTCAACCGTCTCCCCCGCCGCCGAGTCTCTCTTCCACGTCATCGTTGACGTCTCCGACTTCCCCGACCTCGCGGTCTCCCACACCAAGGCTGGACAATACCTCCAGCTCCGCGTCCCCGACGCCGAGAAGCCTTCATTCCTCGCTATTGCCTCCCCGCCTTCCCTTGCCGCCGCCAAGGGCGTGTTTGAGTTTTTAGTGAAGACCGTCCCCGGCTCCACTGCGGAGCTTCTGTGTAAACTCCAGAAAGGAGATGTGGTGGAGCTGAGTCCTGTTATGGGGAACGGTTTCGACATTGATCGGATCTCTCCGCCGGAGAAGTATCAGACTGTACTGATATTCGCCACTGGATCTGGAATTAGGTGAATTTTTAAATTTTTACCTTCTTTCAATTTCAAATAATTTTCTTTTCTTTGCTCTCCTGTTATTCTTATCATCAGCAGTAGTCGAAACTTTTATGAATAAACGCCATCTTGCTATCCCAATCTGGCAATCAACCAGGGAGACCTAGTCTGTTTGCTATACTGTAAAATAAAATAAGAAAAACTAAAAGTTTTTTAATGTTCTAACTATGAATGCCTTTATGTATATGTCTCCATCTGCATTTCTTTCTCTGTAATGTGAAATTGTGAATTTATACTTTCAATATTTGTAAGATATTCATGTTTAACTATGGGATATACTGCTGTGGAGGTGAGTGGAAACAAGCTTTGGTTGTCAGATGTAATAAGCATTGCCCAATATAGTGTTGTGTTGAAACCTGTAATGATTTTGGAGGCTATGTAGAATTGTAGATGCAGTAGTTTACTTGATGGATTATGCATGCATTGTGAATCTAGGAGGAATACTTGAAAAATTAATTACCATATGATATGGAGAAGATTTGATGGTAGGAAAAATGCCGAATCAAAATATAGACTGGATTAGATTCTGTATGATTCCCATGAACCATTCTCCCAATCATTACAGACAAATGCATTGGGATCAGCAACCCATCAATGATTGACAGGCTTGCTATGGCCTTAAGTGTAGGTTGAATATGAAAGTATGGACCATTGTAGTCTACTTACTGGACTGATGTTTGAGGTACACCATTCCCCGTATCCAGGATGGTTCCACTCTTTTTTTGTGAGCAAAAAATTTCACTTTGTTTTTTGCCTTTTCCAAAGTATCTTTCAAGGGCTATATCATCAACTGTCTTTGGCCATGCTTTTTATACCTGCAACTAAACAATAAAACCTTGCACCTAGTGGGTTAACTCTTTCTTCAAGAGCATTAGTGCATTTCGACACTGCTGAATATTGAGCGAAGTGCTTCTGAGATTACAATTGATTAAGGAACTTCTGACATATGTCTCTATGAAAGGTTAATAACCTTACTTTTTTTGCCTAGTAATATGTATATTGCAAACCTTCCCCCCGGTTGTATCATACTAGGTGATTTTGGAGATGCACATTACTACCCCCTAACATATTGTTTAAAAGAAGGCGGCTAGTTCTCTTTAATTATATGTACATTAAGCTTCCTGCATAGGTGGTCCCTTTTAACTCCAAAATGGAGGGTGCATCATTTGGTATATTACCTCAGCTTTGTGGGTATATCCTTAATTTTTTGATCGGAAAGATGATTCTAGTATGTCTATTTGATATGCTGCATGCTTGTCTCTCTTTTTCCAATCCTTCTCCCTCCCTTTCCATCCCTTCTGATGTATTTTCTCCTTGATACCTTTATCTCCAGTCCAATCCGGTCTCTGATTGAGGGAGGATTTGGTGCTGACCAGAGATCTGATGTGCGATTATATTATGGTGCTCGCAACCTAGATCGAATGGCTTATCAGGTATCTTTGTGCTTGTTACTGCATGGATAATACTGTGTTAATTTTGAGGAGAAGTTCACAAACAAGTTGTTTGATCTCGTGGTTCCTTTCAACTTCTATAGGATAGGTTTAAAAATTGGGAATCTTCTGGAGTTGAAATTGTACCAGTATTATCTCAACCAGATGATTCTTGGACTGGCGAGAGTGGCTATGTGCAGGTAATCAATATGTATCAATTTGTGCTTGCCTGCCTTTTCTCTTGCTTTACTTCTCTGTATTGGAATGATAATGTTCTGAGGCTGGCTTTTGCAGGCTGCATTTGCCAAAGCCAAGAAGCTTTTTAAACCACAGTCAACTGGTGCCGTGCTTTGTGGACAAAAACAAATGGCTGAGGTTTGTAGCTATTTTATGTTAACAGACCTTTAAACTATATTGGATTTCCTCAATTATTTGACGATCTGTTTTAACTTGATTTCATCTTGGGATAGAAAATAAATGTCTGTTAAATATGATCTAGATATTGCATTTACATGCTATTAGTTGAATTGTTTTTATTTTGTTACTCCATTCTTTATAATATGCATGCTTTAAAACAACTTAATGGTTTTCTCAATAACTCAATAAGACTAAAAGAAATTCTAAGCGAAGAATTAGCTAAGGAGCAGGGATGTGAGTATATTTTGTTGTACTAATTAGGAGTCTATGGGCTTTAAGTAATTGTTAACCTTTGAGACTTGTGTACACTGAAATGCCAGGGTTAATGCACGGACTTGCTGTTTCTATGTACTCCCTATGTGCTGTTTTAGGTGATGTGTTTACTTCGACCCGATTAAGAAGATAAACAATTATGAACCCTCTTAGGGAAAGGGCTTGACTTGGTTGAGAGCTGAGTTCCTCATTGCTTGTGCCCAAGAAATTGTTTTTTGGTATCTTTGTGCTCAAACAAATTTCTCATTGTCTACTTTCCAAACGACATGATAGATAGTATCCAGTCTGTATTTTACATTCACAAATTGCTACTTAAATACTTATTTGCAAACATATAAAGGATCATAACTATATATATATATCCTCTGCCTGTTGCAGGAAATTACCTCTGTTCTTATAGAAGATGGAGTTTCAGCTGAGAAAATCTTAAAGAACTTCTGACTCAAAATTTGTAACCAGTTTGTTGTATTATTCTCTAGTTTTCAATAAAACATACAACTTGGCCCGTCCAGACAGCGAATTTAATGTGCAAAGTCTGCTGGCTGCCTCTTAAACCAACCAGAAGATATGCGAGGTCGATGCAACAAATTGTAGGTAGTTTCTCAATTTTCATATTCTCAGCATCTTCATGCTTGGCTTCGTTTTGTTGTTTTTGCCAATTATCATAGGATCTGACTGTGGGAAGGGTAGTGCAACTCTATCTCTAAGCCCCAAGAGAAAAATAATTATATTCTTTGTATTATTGAAACAACACATTACAATTTTTTAGCCTACTATTTTGTTAACATTTGAAACTATGGTATTAAAATAAGGTTGAGATGATTTTTTTATTTTTTTTTGGCAGTAGAGATGGTGATTGCTACTTGTATTTGGGTTGATTCTACACTCCTTTGGTATTTGACCAAAATGATGTATATTACGTGTTTGTGTTTATGTTTAGTAAATTCATTTTGTTTTTAGTACGTGTTTATATTTATGATACTAATTAAACTTGCAGTACTCTAAAAACGAACATCTATTATCTTGCGAGATGATTTCAAATTAAAAACTTTAGCAAAAAAGTAGCCTGAGATAAGCCAACAAAATTATCATTATTTTTTTAAAAAATTATACATGTTCTTTTGTGCTTGATAATAGCTTTTAAAATAATTTCATTTTTACTTGTGCAACTCCTCCAAGGTATATAAAGGTTTTGTTTGATAACATAATTAGCTTATCAACCAATTAAGAAATTTTTTTGATCGGCTTTTATCCAATCAACTAGTCAAATCTAATAACTTAATCAGCTAACAACTATTTACTAATATTTTAAATGTTGAGATTTTGATCTCACATTTGATAAGATATGAGTTATACCCATTTCCCAAACTTGACAAAACACACACAATCCTATAGAAGTAATACCCCACAATATAATATGTTAAATGTTAAGGAATGCCAATCAGACTTGACAAAACACACAATTCTATAGAAGTAATACCAACACTATAACATGTTAAATGTTAAGGAATGCCAATCAAAGCCAATGGCTAATGTCTCCAAATAGTACAAATTAATAAAGGAAGCAGAAATACACAACATGTCAATGGTGAAGAGTTTGGTGATGAATAAAAAAGCAGTGAACATGTGAATTAGCAGAGAGACCCCTAAGCATCCACTCACTCTGACTCATGCTGTTTATTATCATCAGGTTCCTGCTCCTGTTGCTGTTGTTTATGGCTGTTATGGCGATGCCCATGACGGTGATGATGATGATGATTCTTCTTGTGCTGCTTCTCGTTCCTGTCAGATTCATCGATTTCATCACCTGACTTGCTTAGGGATCTACTTCTGTCCCGTTCAGTGTCCGATGATGTTGAATCGTGACTGTGAGAGCGGTGGTGGTGATGCTTGCTGCTGCGGTGCCTTCCATGACTACCTCTCTTATGATGGTCCTCATCGGAAGCACTCGAGTCCACTTGCCTGCGACGCTGATGATGCCTGTGATGCTTAGCGTGGTGTCTTCTTCTCCCAGCACCGTCATCGTCATCGCTAGAAGATTCCGAGCCGCCAGAAGAATGTGATCGCCGATGACGCTTGTGATGCTTTTTGTGGTGTCGCCTCGTCCCATTGTTGTCATCTTCGTCATCAGAAGAGTGATGATGGTGGTGGTGCCTTTTATGCCTCTTGTGAGACCTTTTCACGGCTTTTCTACCGCCATCACTTTCACCGTCACTATCAGATTCCGAGTCGGATCTCCTCTTGTTCTTTGAAGCTTTCACCTTCTTCTCTTTGGCTTTAGCATCTGCCCACCCCTTTGCTGCCACCGCTTCAAGCTTCTCCTCCCATTTCAACCGAGCTTCGTTCTTCTCCAAAGCCCTCTTCTTTTTCTCCTCCACCAATTGTATAAATTTCTTGGCGTCCATTCAAATGCAAATGACAACAAAAATTCTGCATTTTGGTATGATGATGACCAGAAGTGCACATCTCAAAGATGAGAATGAAACAATGTTAGCTCCTCCATCAAAAAAAAAGACAACATAACCAAAGATATAAACTACGCAAATTCTAGCCAAGCACAAATTTTGTGAAACAAGAATATTGGAATGAAGATGAAGTGTGATCTCCCAAAAACATTTAAGCATATAATTCATGAATATGCTAACAACTCAACTTCATCATGATAAATGTAACCTATAATTCATCTCAATCAAATATTTTTCTTCGAAGTTCATTACATAATAACCATGAATTTAGAGCAAAGATTCAAACTATTTGCTTGTTTTTACAAGAAACGCATCGAAATAGAGCAAGATAGAGCCAGTTCCTTACCTTGTAACAATTATATGAATGCCGAAGAAGTCAAACTTCCCTTATCAAAAGCCAAGCTTCGACTATTCTCTCTCCACACAAGGTTGCACAAATCTGAAATCATATCCAATAAAGATTTCAATGTTATATTACCTCTACTTAAAATACCTTGATTGAAGCTTACCATAACTGAAATCTAAGAATATAGTTCCATAAAAGAGAGAAAAAAAAAAATCCTAAAACAAAGCTCTATTCTTGCATCTCACAACTACACATCTACCATAATTAACAAGTAATCAGCTCACCACAAGAAATCCATACAAATTACAAAATCATTCAAGTAAAAACGTCTCTAGTTTAAAATGTATGGGAAAGGCTAGGTGCTGATCGGCATGTACCCCGTCACCAGTTATCATGCCCGTACGCATAGAACTTTCATATATATATATATATATATATATATATATATATATATATATATATATATATATATATATATATACACACACACACACACATATATATACACACACACAATCATCCAGTAAAATGTGAGGGTTGATCTAAGCACATGTGGAAATTTTTAATTACCTAAACCCTCCCATATATATATATATATATATATATATATATATATAATACCATCTAAGGTGCTCTGAGTATAATGGTTTAACCACGTTTAGTCTTAAACTTTCAAATTGACCCCACGTGGTCCTTCAACTTTCAAATTGTTACTATTCGTGGTCTTTTGACTTTCAAATTTTAACAACCAATGGTCCTTCCAAGTTAAACACCCATAGCCTATATATATGTGTGTGTGTGGTTCATATGGGTTCATCAATGGTTGATTTGTCAAGATGGAGGGTATGGGTGTGTCCACACTTTTGACCGGGGAGGAGTTCTCAACAGAATCCTCATATATATATAGTCCTAACTGATAAAGAACAGCAATCTTTCTACAGTATTCCGAGGACCCAAAGTTGAGAAGATCTGATTTCTCAGAATATGCTCAAAAGAGAAATACATAGAACCCTAATCACTGGAAAATTGAAGCACTGTAAGATTCAAACCCTAACTTTAAAAAAAAAAAAAAAAAAAATACAGCTGATAAAAAATTGACTATAATCGCTGATAAAACAACACTTTCGGAATTTAAAATCTGACTGAGAAAAAGGAACCATCTTTCATGCTTCCATTAAAAACTTTTTTTTAAAAAAAAAAAAAAAAAAGCCCAGATTATGATACAACTGATTGAGCAAATCAAAGTAGCATTTACACAAGAACGAAGCCACTCATGCACAAAAAGGGGAATTCAACATACAGATTAAGAAAGTGGAGGAATAGAATACCTTAAGGGAGAAAGAGAGAGACAGATCTGAAGGGGCCGGCGGAGAAGAACAGGTTTGACCTTGAATTATTATGGGAAGAATGAAGAGGAGGGTGGTTTGGGCATCTAGAAAATTCGCCGATGGAGGGGTATATATAGAGAGAGAGAGAGGGGAGCGTAAGCAATTCCTAAACCGCTTAAACGGATAATAATTGAGATATGCCGCGTTTTTTACTTTTTTTTTTTTATTATTATTTTTTTATAATTAAGGAATTGTCTTTATGACGTTAAAATATAGGGATAAGGGTCAAATACACCCTTGAATTATTAATGAAAGTGCAATTAGCCCCTTCAACTACAAAATGCTTCGATTAGGCACTTCAACTTTAAAAAAGAATGCAAGTAGATGTTTTTATAGGTTACTATCAAGTAATATGTTAAAATTAGCTGATTTAACATTAATATATTTAAATAATTAAATAAATGGTTCAAAAAAATAATTTAAATAAAAAAAATTATTTCTTCTATATTCATTGCTTTCAATGGCGAGACGTGCAGCACCACTACCTCCGCTCAGCTTTCGAGACCACCCATTCTCGTTGTTGCTTTCCGGTGCTATCTCTCTCTCCATCGGAGTTTCTCTTCACCGGAAAAAAATGGTTAAGGCAAAGACATGAGGTAGAAGCGTCGGCAAGACTCTCATTGCAGCTCGCGCTGGAAAGCTAAAATCACCGCCTCCTATTGCGCTGCACCACTGCCACGGCATCTTCGGACCACTTCCGTCGACCGAACACTGCGATGGCCGATGAAGTGAAAACTAAGCCGTCCGCCATCTTCGGACCACCATTTAGTTTTCACTGCGGTCGCCGTCCTTGAGCTGAAAAAAACATGAGCGGTGGAAAGGACGGATAGCACAAGGAGGAACACCGCCGGCGGAACTTCTTGGGTGACAACCATCGCGTCAGATTCGTCGATTGTCAATGAAACTATGTGGCCACCACCAAGGTATCTTGAGGAGATTGTATTGATGATGAAATAAGTTAGAGTTCAGCGCAATGATGAAATAAGCGCCACCACCAAGATATCTGAAGATGGCGTGGCAATGGTGCAGCGCAATTGGAGGCAGTGATTTTAGCTTTCCAGGGTGAGCTGCGATGAGAGTCTTGCCGACGCTTCTACCTCTTGTCTTTGCCTTAACCATTTTTCCCGGTGAAGAGAAAGGGAGAGAGAGACGGCACTGGACGACGAAAATGGGTGGTCTAGCAAGCTGAGCGGAAGAGGTGGTGCTGTAGGTCACACTATCTGAGTAGATGAATACAAAATTAAAGAAATAAATCTTTTTATTTAATTGTTTAAATATATTACAGGTTAACATTTTACTTGGTAACCTATAAAAAGTTCCAATTGCATTTTTTAAAAAAGTTGAAGTGCTTAATTGAAGCATTTTGTAGTTGAAGGGGTTAATTGCATTTTCATTAACAGTTCAAGGGTCTATTTGACCCTTATCCCTAAAATATATGTTTTTAAAGAAATACAAAGTGCTTGGTTCAAATAGAGTTAATTAGTAAACTAGTCCTTTAACTATAGCAAAATTATTAATTTAGTCTTTGACTATTTTTAAAATTAATTAAGTCCCTTAATTTTAAAAATTTTAATCAATTTGGTCATCCGTTTGTTTGACCATTAATCAACTGTTAATTTGGGACCAAATTGATAATTTCGCTATAGTTAATGGACCATTTTGGTAATTAACTTTAGGGATGTGCAATTCGATTTAGTTTTCTCGAATCGAACCGTATCGAACCAATTTGTTCGGTAATATACCGAACAACCGAACGGTATTGGATTCTTGTATACTGAATGGTTCGATAAAAAGTCTATCCGAACTGGTCCGAATTGTTCGGTAAAAAATTGAACTAAACCGAATACTGTTTGATTTTTAAAAAAATAATAATAAATAAATAAAAAGTAAATCCAATTCCCTTGCTGCTTGCTCTGCCGTTCAGCTCATATTCCCACAGGTATCTCTCGTAAATGTTTTATTTGATTTCTTTATGGTTTGTTATCAAAAGTTCTATATTATGTGTTATGATGTTTACATAGTCCATATCCAAGTGGTCCATTGACTAGCGAATTACCAATTTGGTCCCAAGTTAACGGTCAAACAAACGGATGACCAAATTGGTTAAGATTTTTAAAGTTGAGGGACTTAATTGGTCAAAAAAATAGTCAATGACCAAATTGGTAATTTCGCTATAGTCAAATAACAATTTCGGCAATTAACTCGTTCAAATATGCGCATCCAAATCATAATTTAAAATAAAAATATTTATTATTTCAAAAACATATGTCGAAAGTAGAGATGTCAATTGATCAAGTTTAAATCAATGATAATTCTGATAATTGGAAGAAGTTTAGATCATGATACTTAAATCATGCAATCGACAACAACATATGAACGGCACCTTATCCGATTGAGAAAGCGACCAACTAGTTGCCTTTTTTGTGAAGAAAGAGACCCCAATGGTCACATTTTATACAAAGAATGTGACACTAGTGGTCTCCTTCTTAAAAGAAGAAAGAAGGCGACCATTCGTCGATAGTCAAATTTTTTTCTTTTGGGTGTAGTTGAAGCATCATCTGAATCCTAATGAGTTAATAAATAATCAAATACATAATACTTCGTATGTGAATGAGTTAATTCCACTAAAGATTAATTATCTTTGGTTACAATTTCAAATTTAGTTATAAACTATCGTTTTTGCCATTTAACATCCCAAACTATTATTTTTTGGACACTTTTGACTTTTCCTATTTTTAGTAAGGATATTTTTGCCTCTTCATATTTTTCTTTTGTTATTTTTTTTTTTGAATTAATTCCAGCATTGGTCATCTGACTATCGTAATTTTCCATAATTAGTCATCGACTTTTAATTTGGACAATTTAGACACTTGACTATCAAAATGTTTCCAATATTAGTCCTTCCATCAACACTGGGTTAAGTAGACGTCAAACTGAGGGTTAAATTTGTCTTTTAACATTTTACATATAATACTTCATCGTTGTAATAGAAATATAAAAACAGGGGAAAGGCTTTTTAATTTGAAATTGTTAAAGCTTACATGAGAGCATCCATGGCCGTCATACACTGCGAAGTAGTGCAATTCGTTGTTATTTTCGCGATCCATGACGCAAAACCACGGATGAACCGCAACCGCATCTTCCATGTCCCGCGCCTCCGTCCACAGACGGAATCCATGCCGTATTTTGGAAGCTCTACTGACTCAAAAAGAATAGAGGAATCATCTGGACTCAAAATTGGAGGCAAGCGTTTTTTGAAGAACCCTAGATTTGGATTTTAGATTCTTCGTTTTCTATGGCACTTCGATACGAGCAGGCGTTTTTTTGTTCTGAAAATTTTCGTTTTGTTTTTGTTTGGTTTGGTTTGGTTTGTTCGAAGTTGAAGAACCCTATATGTCGGTTTGAGAGGTCTGTGTGTGACGGTTGATTTTGAGCTCAGATCTGATTGGGAAAAGCTCGAAATTTGAGTGTATTGTGAAATATGTAGCGATTTTTTTAAAAACCAATTTTATAGCAATTTGTTAAGACTGGAGCTTGAGTGAATTGAACATATGGCTTCAAATCCTCCATTTGAGGTCCTTTGACAAGCTGGTGGATAACGAGGATGATGGTGATTTCAAGGTTATCGCGTCGGGGAATGAAAATTTAGTTTGGGTGATCTTAATAGTTTGGATGAGTGTTGTAATGGAAATTTAGCAGATGAAGTTGCTTCTGATGCAGTAGTTGATAAGAATAGTAGATCTGGGCATTTAGGTGTGAAGCCTCCTCCTCCTAGCTGACCAAGAGCTCGACTCGCACAGCGACGACGCCTCGCTCTCGTTCACCAAACCGCAGCAAATCTCTGCCATCCACCACCCCTGCCGGCGATGACGTATTATACAAAAAGTATGTTAGAAGACAATTTTAGCCCTCAATTTGACGGTCATTTAACCAGGTGTTAACGGAAGGACCATAATTGGAAACATTTTGATACTCAAGTGTCTAAATGTCCAAATTAGAAGTTAAGGACTAATTATGGAAAATCACAATAGTCGGAGGACTAATGCTGGAATTAACTTTTTTTTTTTTTTTTTTTTTTTTTTTTTTTTTTTTAAATTTCATCCAGTTTAATTAGTTTAGGACTTTACTAAAAATTGGTTGAAAAATATGGTTACTAAAAATCATAGGTTACCTAAAGTTCTAAAACAATTAAACCGATTGAAGATGGAAAAATAACAAAAGAAAAATATGAAAGACAAAAAAATACCCTTACTAAAAACATGAAAAGTCACGAGAAAGACTAAAAGTATCCAAAAAATAATAGTATTAGATGTTTGTAGAAACGATAATCTGAAGCTAAATTTGAATTTGCCACCAAAGAGAAGGTACATCATTGTGGAATTAACTCTATGTGAACCTATAAGACAATAACAAATACTCCGTAATTTATGCAATGTACTACTTACTAATACATTTTATCAATATAAATAAATAAATTAACATATATTTATATATAATTATATAAAATGTTATACATACATATATATATATATATATATATATATATATATATATATATATATATATATAATATACACACACACTAATATTAATAATGTATATATACTAGACGGACTTAGCGGGCCTCGATCAACCTGTCTCGCAAACATCTACCATTTTATCAGAGTGAATTAAAAAATCCATCAAAATACGAACCATAAAATTCAAAATCTGCCCCATCTATTTGGCAAAGACGAAATGATCTAACTCAACGAACTAAGCTTATTTTGAGGATTCTAAATTTTAATTATAATGTTTGAACCAAACACCCCCTTACTAGGAAATTTCCTTTTGTCAAGCTAACTACTCGGTCTTTTCCACTTTCCCTTCTAACAACGCTGTTAGAGAAAATTTCAGTTTCATGAAAATTACAGTCTCCCCCAAAAACTTTCATTGACTCGCACAAAAGTCTCTATAACACTGTACGTCTATACCTTGCTGTCAGAATACCTGATCCGCCACCACTACCGCCACCGTGAATAATGGCGTCGCCGTCGTCGTCGGCGACTACAAACGTCATGCTAGCAATCTACGAGAAGAAGACAGTGTCTATTGACCTCTACCGCCCGCTCCGCAACTTCATCGTCGTCCACTACTCCGAGCGGGAGGCTCAGAGCCTCGAGGACGACCTCGAAACGCTCAGGGAGCTCCGCTCCGAGCTCGAGCGTGGAATCTCAGATTCCCTCCCCGCTCGCCGCGATCTCCTCCAGAAGTACTTTAGAGCTCTCTGCGCCGTCGAGTCTCGCTTCCCTATCTCCGCCGACAAGGATCATATCAACACGGTGACGTTTACCTGGTACGATGCCTTCAAAAACAAGCAGAAGGCTGTTCAGCAGAACATTCATTTGGGTATATTCATCAATTTGATTTATTTTGAGCTTAGATATTTTGAACTGGACTATTTATATCATTTCATCTCCATTTAGTGGTGCAATTGATGACTACTCGGTAAAGTGGATATTGAGTACAGAATGGTGTTTGCTAGCTCATGTGTATTAACTATCTGGAACTTATAGAGTGAGCTTGTTAGATTTGGTTGGCAGTTGTGTCATTAGCTGTGGTAGTGGAAGTAGAGACCAGAAAATATTGTATTCAGAGAAGTGATTTTAAGAAATATAAGTATATGGTACCTGGCAATGATTAAATTTACTCTGTAGTTACCATTCCATATTATTTTGAGTTGGTTTTAGTGATAAATAAACTTGTTTTTATAGAAAAAGCTGCGGTTCTGTTTAATTTGGGGGCAGTTCATAGTCAAATGGGGCTGAGTTTTGATCGATCATCTGTTGATGGGAGAAGGCAGGCATCTCACTCATTTATAGCAGCAGCTGGGGCATTTACTTTCTTGAAAGATAATGTGGCAATGAAGGCATCTACGGGGAACTCCACCACTGTGGATGTGTCTGTGGAGTGTGCTGGGATGTTGGAAAGGCTGATGCTGGCTCAGGCTCAGGAATGTGTTTTTGAGAATACTATTGCCAAGGGAAGCACTCCTGGGGTTTGTGCAAAAATTTCTAGACAGGTTGGTTGGTGATTCTCAGTGCTTTCTTTTTTGCTGCTTGTAGGTCTGGTCTGTAGTTCTAGAACATTATTCTCATCTTTTTTATCATGCTTGGTATGGGTCCCCAAGTAGTCTAATACTCTAATGTTATAATAACCAATGGTAACTGGGAAGTTGGTTCTGCTGCAGTTTACTATATGTAATTCATGAGGCTTGACTGCCATCAATTAGCAATTATTGTAAATGTTTGACCATAAAGTGGACATCATTACAGGTTGGGATATTTTATGAAGAAGCTTTGTCTGCATTAAATTCGGCACCTCTGAACCAGCATTTTGACAAAACCTGGCTAACACATGTCCAGATTAAGGCAGCCTTGTTTTATGCAGAGGCTTGTTATAGGTATAGTTTAGAACTCCATGAGAAAGAAGAGATTGCTGAGGAGATTGCGAGGTTGAAGTGTGGGATCAGTGCCTTGTCTGACACAAAAAAATCATCACCGAAGGGGGCTATGCAGCAGCTAATAGATGCTGCAAATAAATTAGAAACCAACCTAAATCATAACCTGGAGAGAGCTGTGAAGGAGAATGATAGAGTTTATCTCATGAGGGTTCCTCCAGCTAGTTCTTTGACAGCTCTTCCTGCATTTTCAATGGTCAAACCTATGCTAATGAATGAGGTGCTGGATGCAACCAAGGAAAAGATGTTTTCCAGTCTTGTTCCTGATAGCAGTGCCAAAGCTCTTTCTAGGTATACTGAAATGGTTGATGATGTCATCAGGACTCAAGCTGAGAAACTACAACAGGGAAGTGAACTAGCTCGTGTGAGGCTTAAGGAAATGGACCTGCCTGATTCAATTCTTGCCTTGGAGGGAAATTCCACTTTACCTAAAGTGCTGAAAGAAGATGCAGAGGCAGTACAAATTTGTGGGGGTCCAGCTGCTTTGGAAGGTGACCTTGAACAACTCAAAGATCTGAGGAGGGTGAATCAGGAGCTGCTTGTCCAAACTGAGGAACTTTTGCAAAAGGAAGCAATGGAGGATGCTCAATTTAGAAGCCAATTTGGAACACGTTGGACTAGGCCTCAATCTAGTACCCTAACAAAGAACTTGCAGGAAAGATTAAACAGGTTTGCAGCAAATCTGAAGCAAGCAACAGAGAGTGATGCCAGAATTGAGCGATCTGTGAGGGATCATGCTGTGCTCATGTCAATACTTGACCGCCGTCCAGTATGTATCTGCACAACTATTTTATTCTATTTCCTCATGTTCTGAGGGGAGATAAAGTTTATATGCATCAATAAGATGAGCTTCGTAGTTAATTTAAACCAGTTCTTATCTAAGTTCCTAGATTCATCAGCATGGAGCATTGAAAAGATCAAAGCAGTTAATATTTCTGATTATGTTTTAAAACTACGTTAGATGGATGCTTCTGAGAGATTTATGATAAACTTTGAGCATTTGAGTTTGATAATAAGTTAGCATTTGAGCATTTGAGCATTTGAGTACTACTTAAGGAGTACTAAATTATTTGTTTGAAATCAAATTTTTTGTGCCCCATGAGTCCATGACTAGGAGGACTACTTTATTTCAACATTTTGTTTGTGGTCTTGTCTCTGCATGAGGAAATCTTTGTCTTAAGTAGTTAAGTATTTAACCTTAAATATGTTAAGACATGAGTCTGATTCATGTTTCTCAATTATATCATGAGCATTGTGCTTTTTGTCAGGTTGCTTATTTATTTATTTATTATTTTTATTTTTTTTTAAATTTAATTTTTTTAAATTTATTTTAAAAGTCATTCGCACTCTCAGTTCCTCAATACTGTACTTATTGGGAACTTTATAGAGTTTTCCTCTCTTTTCCTTTCTTTCTTGTGCATGCAAACGAAAGCACATATCTTACACATGGTTCTGCTCTGTAATAGATTGAATCTGCACTTCCAACCCTTGCAAGGCCAATGATGTCTCTAGATGCCAATGAAGATGCCATAGTTGGAGTGCTGAAGCAGAGTTTGGTAACTTCCAACTTTCCTAGTTCTATACATTGCTTAAATAAAACTTATGCAAACTGAGATATTAGATAATCGTGCATTGTTTTATACCCTGAAAAAATAGCAATAAGATTTTCTGCACCCTATATATTATTAGTAGTTATAATAATATCATTAGATGCTTTAAAAATCCAATACCAAATTCCTAATAATAAAGTGATAGAAAATAATGAAAAAACCAAGTTTTATCTGAAAAATGGCTGACATGGGAGGGACATTATAGTTATTTCATCGTGGCCCAATTAAAATGTCGCCCTTACATTACATATATGACAGGCATGGGAAAAGGCAAAACCTCTGTGATAATATAGTCATTTAACCAATGTTTCTTTTTTCCTTTTTGACTTTCAACTTGATTCCAATTTTTACATCTACAGAGGCAGTTAGAAAGTCTTGGTGCTCAGAGGGCGGGCCTTGAAGACATGTTGAAGGAGATGAAGAGGAAGGTGCATTTACAAACTTTATGTGTGCTGCTTCTAGTTCAAAAATTTCAGCAAAAGACTTATTTTAATGGCCAACTTGCTTACATTCTCTGATATAGTGATATCTGTACCTTTCTAACACAACCACTCTGAAGTTCTGATTCATTTTCTTTTGAAAACTGCTCAGGATGATATCCTTCCTAAGTTGATGACTTCTACAGGCTCTCATGAAGATCTTTTCAGAAAGGAGATAGGGAAGTATGATCACATTTGTCAGGATATTGCGCAAAATATTGAGGCACAAGAACAATTACTGATGCAAATTCAGGTCCTTTTTGAAAAGCTTTAATGGGGAAATTCTTTTTGACAGCTTTTTCCCTTCTCAATAATTTTCATAATCTCTCAAAAATTTAATCTCATGATGCTGTATATGCTCTCTTTCTTTCTTTTTTCTTTTCCCCCCAAATTATTCTCTTTTTCTTTTGTTTTCTAATTTTTTCCCCTGAGCACCATCTAATTACTTCGGTATATCCTTCAATAGTTTGTTCATGACACGATTTATTATTTATTTGTTTTTTCAGGCTCAAAATGACGAGTTTGCTTCAATTTTCAATCTTGTGGATTATAAGGGTATGCTTTTAAGTTCTATGCTTAAACTATGGATGAGTACATAGCTTATACTTACTGGTTTTATTTGTCCCACATTACAAAATAATTGGACTTCAGTCCTGAGGTTTCTCATTTAGTAGAAGAGAAATTTTGGTTGCATGAAGAGAAAGATGCGGTATTTAGTTACACTACCACCATTTGTCTAGTGCATGTGTGTGTGTTTTTTGGATGGGTGGGGTGGTCTCACAAGAAACGGAATAAAACAGAACACACATATTGGATTTTATCCACACCATCATAAATGTCTAGTACATTATCTTTCTGTAATTGTGGGAAGATGAGTTCCTGTAATTTTGGTGCAAGTGGTATTATCATGATTATAACACTATGGTGTATATTGAGTTTTTGGAAGGTTTTTGTATCGCCAATACTTTTTCTATAAACTGCTTATTGTATTTTTGGTGCTATGTGCCTGCTACCATCAAAGTAATCAAGCAGTTCTGTTACATGTGTCGTTATCTTCTGGCATCTTTAATTTCCGTCTCTTCTTGTGATGGAATATGCATGTTACACACTGTATATTATTTTGTATCCCTTGCATCCATATCCCATATCTTGGTAACTGATGGTCTACATGATATCATATAATTGATTTTTCTTGCTTCATCAATCCTGCATCTATTCATTCCTTTCAAATGTTGTAAACAGTAAACTTCATTTTACTTTTCACATCCTAAAGTTTCTTTATATTGTAACTACATTTCCTGCATTCTGTTCTTCCCAACCCCGAAAGTTTTGTTATGAATTGACATTTGATTTTTGATTTGAATTTTTTTTTTCAACACTCTCAGCAACTTGTGAGAAGATCTACAGGCAGATTGAGGCTGCCATCGCAAAATATCGAGAAATCAAGGATAATGTCAATGAAGGATTGAAGTTCTATGTTACTCTTCAGGTATGGGTTTTTAATTTTCAGTTATATTGTTCTCAGTTTTTGAATTTATCCAACCTGGAAAATTCTATTCTTTTTTTTTTTTCTCTTATGGCAAGGTATAATATATTATCTATTAATTTTGAACAGGATGCAATCACAAATGTGAAGCAGCAGTGCAGTGATTTTGTGAATACTAGAAATATGCAATGCCGGGAAATGATTGATGAAGTCCAGAGAAAAATTTCCGGCCTCAGTTTTCAGGACTCTAAACCTTCGGGTGCCTATAATTACCCTTCGGTAGGGCAACTGAATTCTCAACCTACCGGCCCCAACCCTCCTCCGCTTACCCAATCTCCTGTCTACCAGCCTCCTCAGCAGCCTACAGTCCCCAGTTACGTTCATCCTCCTCATCCTCATCCTTCTCATCCGCCTCCCCATCACGCTTCTCATCCGCCTTCCCCGTACGCTACTCCTCAACAGCCACCGCCGCCTTATCATTTGCCAGCTCAGAGTATCCCATACCCACATCCTCAATACCAACAGCAGCCATTACCCAGCCACGAGTATGCTCAACCTGCATATCCCGGGTGGCGTGGTCCATACTATAATGCACCTCCTCAGCAACCGGGGTCTATGCCTCGACCTCCTTACACCGTTCCTCCGTATCCTCCTAACCAGAATGGCTACTACAGACAATGATGGTCATTTCCTTGTGAATTTGGATGGTGCCTGAAAATACTTGTATGTATAGGGTGCTCTCTTTGTAGAACTGAAATTTAGGGCACTTTGAGTCTGTTAACAAATTTTTAGATTTTGTAAAAATGTGGCATTAGCTATAGAAACAATAATAAGCCACTGCTATGGAGTAGAAAATTGATGATATTGAATGCGTTGTTTGTCAATATATATAATACTAAGCTACAGGGTAGTAGCCAAGTGCCCAAGTAGGCAAAGAGGCAATTATTATACCATGGACCATGTTCACTTTGCATTATGAACCATATCCAAATTATGTATTCGTAATAATATATTATGTACCTTTAGTTAATAAATTATATATCTACTACAATTAACATATATATTATATATGTGCAATTAATAAATTATTACAATTATTATAATTAATATATTATGTACATGAACCTTGGGGGGTGTGGTTGGGTGAAAGGGATTCATCCCTCGGTCAAGGGTTCAATCCTTGACTTTGGGTATGGAGCAACCTTAAATCTCCAGGCTAGTTGTCCTTTTAACGAGGAGGCCAGCTGTCCTTTCAACGAGGGGACTAGTCATTGGGTCCGGTGGTGGAAACATTGGGTACATCCAACAAAAATATATATTATTATGTCACCTGCTAGAGAGAAAACGAAGTGTTACATACTCTAGTCAAATTGGGCTACTTTGTAATCACAAGGTTACAAATTCAACTCCTAATGAGTACCGTTTATTGGCCTTGTTGATTTGAGCCATATATTTAGTTATGGGTAGTTTATATTGATTTATCTTTTTGTAATTCTTTTGTTGACGAAAGTCATAAGGGACGGGGTTTACCCGAAAGTATGTTAAGGGGTGGAGTCATTCACGCCATTTTGTAAGACTATATAATCAAGAGGTGTCAAACGAGCTAAATTAACTCATATGTGATGCATGACTTGTCGCGTACAAGAGATGAAGAGAGAAAACGAGTCGGGTGGGGAAGACCTGAAAAGATAAATCGCACAGGTACCCATTTTAACTCTCAAACACCTTCACTTCCTAACATATCCTGAAATATAATATAATATTGTATTCTGTTGTCTTTCACACTTTTAAGATCAAGCTAGCTCTCCCTTCCGGCACTTATTAGTCTTAACTGCACAGTTTTTTGTCTATCCACTTAAACCACCGTCTCCACATTTTCTAGAAGTATGGTGTTGAACTTTAGTACTTTACCCTTCACCATCATTTGCTAGCCACCAATTCTTATACTTAACCTTTCACCGGGCTTTGCCCAACAACACTACTAAAGGCCGAAAAGATACACCCCCCACATAACTATACTATTAGTAATGCTTTAATTTCCAAACAAGTAATACTCTACTTCCTCCCTCCATCTTCACTTTAATTTCCAAACAAGTAATACTCTACTCCCTCCCTCCATCTTCACTCTAATACTTTCCTTTCTGTCGGCACCATGAAACCAAACCTTCAATTCACTCTCAATAATCTTCTTTTACTTATAATCTCTAGTTTCGATCTACACACACATCATATACATTCATTATATTCAACAAAATTAAAGATGCAAGGATCAGCTAGTACTAGTAGTAGCGCAACGATCGATCATGTCACAGTAGAAATCATTCCAGAGGAGACTCTCAATCTCCTCTCCTCGATCAACTCCAAAATGGAGTCCCTCTCCATCTCCAATTGCATCTGCAGACTCCCCCAACACGTTTCCAAAGGCAACGAACACAACTACTTCCCTAAACGCGTCTCGATCGGCCCCTTCCACCGCGGAAACGCCGCCCTGAGAGCCATGGAGGTCCAGAAATGGCGGTACCTCAACGCCCTGCTCAGCCGCGGCGGACAGGACACGGAATCCGCCTTGGACGCCTGCATCGAGCGATTGCGGCGGTTAGAATCGCGAGCCAGGAAATGCTACGGCGGCGGCGGAGAAGGGAGGATGATCGGCCTGGGGAGAGACGAGTTCGTGGAGATGATGTTGCTCGACGGTTGCTTCATCATCGAGCTCCTCCTCAGGTTCGCGTTCCGAGGAATCCGCCGGAAAGACGATCCGTGTTTCAGCTCGCGGGAGGCGTTCTCCGGCGTCAGGAGCGATTTGATTTTGGCTGAGAATCAAATTCCGTTTTTTGTTGTTGAGCATTTGTATAAGGTGGTTCCTCTTCCCAAAGACTGCTCCTCTTTCTCGCTCGCTCATCTCTTCCTGTTATTCGTCAGGAAGTTGATCGACCGGCCGCCGGAAGGATCATTGCCGGCGACTCAGGATCAGAAATTTGGACCGTTTGTGTATCATTTACTTGATCTCGTTCGCCATTGTTACTTGCCTGCAACTCCTCCATTGCAATCAACTGCAACTGGAGAGCAGAAGAATCTCTATTCTGCAACTCAACTTCAAGCTGCAGGTACAACTAACCACATTCCACTAATTGTGCAAAGGTCGTTGATCGAAGGAAGTAAATTGTCCCGTTCTCAAATTCTCAGGCCTTGTTTATGATGGGTTGTCTCCCAATAACGAGTGATAGATCAAATCAACTCATCAGTTAGCCCGCCAGGCTAATTGTGCCCTTTAAAAAAATAAAATAAATATTAGGCCAGACTAGTTTAAGTCTTCAAAATCTCTGTCTAAGAGTCGATGGAAGAGGTAAATCGTGAATGGCCTTTAGTTCCCAGGTTCTCACCTCTTGCCTATGATAACCTTAGGCTCCCAATAAGAGTGATAAGTCGAAATAATTGAGCTAGCCAGGCGGGACTATATTGTGCATTTTGTTTGATGCATTAGTTTTCCAGTTTATGCCAGACTAATCCTAAGCCTCTAAAATATCTGCACAAGAACTGCGGGAAGATGTAAATCGCGAGTGAGCCGGTTCCTAGGTTCTCACCCCAACCTAAGATTTGACAATTGTTATATCGGGCGCACAATGCATTGTGCGCCCTAAAAATCCTCTATTCCGTATGCATAATTGTATAGTAAAATACACATAAACTCCTAATATAATATACATAATCTTAACATAATACATAATATACAACTCTTAACATAATACATATGAACTCTTAACATAATACACATAAATTCTTAACATAATACACATGAACTTTTAACATAATATACATAAACTCTTAACCTAATATACATAAACTCTTAACATAATACAAATAAACTCTTAAAGTGCACAATGCATTGTGCACCCTGGTGCACGATATAATTTGCCAGATCTGTCAAGTTCTCCTAATGACCTGTAAATTTCCCACAAGAGTGATTAATCAAACCAACTAATTAAGCTAGCTACGCGGACTATACTGCGCCATAGTTACATTTTATTGACATTGTCACGATACCATTTCATGTGTTAAGTTTGGTTAATGAAGTTATTTACCATTCAATTTTTCATAAAGGCATCAAATTCAGGAAGAAGGCATTATCATCTACTGATCAAAGCATACTGGATATAACCTATGACGACAGAGGCGTCTTGGCCATCCCACCAATAAAAGTTGAGAACCACACAGAAACCTTGTTCAGAAACATCATTGCACTAGAGGAGTATACGCCTCATCAGACGACCAACCACTACGTTGCATCCTATGTTTACCTCATGAAATGTCTGATACGATGTAAAGAAGATGTGAGCTTTCTTCGCAGAAAGGGAATATTAATTGTGAGTGGTACTATGGGGAATGATGAAGAGATTGTTGGTGTGTTTGACAGCCTGCATGTGAAGATTAATGGTGAGGATGAGGAGTTTTACTACAGGGGGCTGTGTGAGAAAGTGAACAGGTTTAGTAATGTGGGAATGGAGAAGAAGGAGAAGAAGAAGAAGAAGAAAGAGGTTTTGTGGCAGAAAATGGGTGATGTGTATCACAGAACGCCTTGGGGTGCTGCAGTTTTTGTGGTTGCAATTCTAGCTCTTGTTTCTTCTCTTTCTGCTGCTTTGTTTTTTGCAATCACATTTTTGTTTCACCATGCTTAATTTCTTAAATTGGGGTGAAATATTGTTCATTTGATCAACTGTTTGAGAAAGTAGGCAGATTCCTTTGTGTACACCAGCATTTGG